ATTTTGCTGCCTATGGATTCTTCTAAGATTTTTGTGGTTTTCCCATCTCCGTTTAAGTCCTTTATCCATTTAGAGTTTATTTTTGTGTATGGTGTAAGTTGTTGGTGGTCTAGTTTCTTTTTTTTTGCATGTATCTGTCCAATTTTTCCAGCACCATTTATTGAAGAGACTGTCTTGACTCCATTGTATGCTTTTGCCTCATTTGTCAAATATTAATTGAACATAATGACTTGGGTCGAATTCTGGTTTCTCTGTTGAGAAACTTTTTTTGGTGCCTGCAAATAGGGCTGATCATGATTAATGAGAGAGAGAGAGAGAGAGAGAGAGAGAGAGAGAGAGAGAGATACCTGATCATTTGCCTCGATCGGGGATCGAACCTGTAATCTGGGTATGTGCCCTGACTCCCTGACTGGAAATCAAACCTGTCACCTTTTGGTGCATGAAGTTCCAACCAATTGAACCATACTGGCTAGGACTGTGATTAGTTTTTTTAAAGGTTTTGGAGAAACATTCAGAATCCCATGGATTCTTAAAATGGAGCACAAAATTGCCAATAGAAACTTTATATAATGTAGTCGATGTACAGTGAGCAAGTCACAGATACTGGTGAATAATTTATTTGGTTAGGTACAAACTAAAACTAGGAACACAAAACAATTTCACACTCATGCACTTTTTAAAACTTTTAAATTTGAAATGATTGTAGATTCACAGGAATTCATAAAAATAACACAGATGGGGCCTTGTATCCTTCACCCAATTTCTCCCAATAGTAAAAGATCTTGCATAACCATAGTACAATATCATGACTATGAAAATGGCATTAGTACAATCCACAGAGATTATTCCAATTTTACCAATTTTGAGTGCATGTGTGTCAATAGTTTTATGCAATTTTATCACATTTGTAAATATGTGTAGCTACCACCACAATCAAGACATAGAACTGCTCCATTACCAAGAGGGTTCTTCCTATTATCGCTTTATGGCCGCCCATCCCCTCTCCTCATTCCTAACTCCTGGTAACCACCAATCTGTTCTCCATCTGGATAATTTTGCTTCTGCATTTTTATATTTGGGGAAATGTCTATTTATGCCCTTTGCCCATTTTCTAATTGGATTTGGCTTTTCTTTTTTTATTGTTGTGTTTTGAGAGTTCTTTAACTATTATAGATATAAGCCCTTTGTCAGATATGTGGTTTACAAATATTTTCTCATAGTCTGTAAGTTGTCTTTTCATGCTTTTAACAGGATCTGTTCAGAGCAAAAGTTTTCAATTTTGATGAGGTCCAATTTATCATTTTCCCCCTTTTCTGCATTGTGCTTTTGGTGTCAACTCTAAGATCTCTTCACCAAACCCTAAGTGCTGCAGATTTCTCCTAAAAGCTTCATAGACTTATGTTTTATATTTGGTTCTATGATCTATTTTAATTTTGTATAAGGTCTGATGTTTAGGTTGAGGGTTTTTTATTTTTATTTTTTTATTTTTTGTTATTTCTAAGGATAGCCAGTTGCTCCAGTATCACTTGTTAAAAAGGCTAACCTTCCTTCATTGAATTACTTTTGCACCTTAGACATATTTGTGTGGGTCTGTTTCGGGGTTCTCTGTTCTGCTCCATTGATCTATATGTCTCACCCTTTGCCAATACCGTACTCTTTTAGTAGCTATGGCTCT